ATATATATATATATATATATATATATATAGATATTCATTTGCTTTTCTAGACATTATTTTGTGTCTGTTCATCTTGCGGAAGCTACCCAACATATGTGGATTATTGTTCGACTGATCTTCGCCCCCATTGGTGTGAATGGTGAATTGGGTGAACTTATTCAACAATATCTCTGGTGGGTAAAATCATCCTCATAAAAAACTAGCCTTGTATTCCAGCTTAAAGCTTGTCAGCATTACAAAACTATTTCTAATACTCGAAATTTAACAAAATTTCCATTAAAAATACTATAATTTTATTCCGAATTAATGCTTCTCAAATTTCCTGCATCCTTTTTTACTTATCAGAATTTAACAAAAAATTTCCGCTTGCTCTTTGCATATGATTATCCTTACTCTACATTTTAATAACTTTTCATCTTTATTTTTTTTATGTTTTATAAGAACTAATACTCACCAAGGATTTATTTCTCATCTTATCAATTCACTAATATAAATTGGTTTTCTTATGCTTGATTTATTTATTTCAACTTCTTAGAAGTCCCTTTTTTTTGTAAAAGCATTCACTATTATTTCATTTTTTTTTATTTATTGCCAGCATGCTAATAAAGTTGTGGTTGATCACAAAGAAAGATTTAGTAATTATACAAGTTATTGAATCTAAACTATGATAGTGGAATCAATTAAGTGTGAAAATAATTTTTGTCATTAGTGATAGCTACCAAACACCCATAAACCCAATGGCAATAATTTTAACATTACTGACACTACAATATGCATGCTCCGCCAATGCTTAAACAAGTGCTCCAATGCTAACTTTATGTATCCTAGTGTCATTCCCATGGCATGTCTTACCCCCACATATTTAGTCTTTGCATGATCGACAATGTACGCAAACTACCACCCGCACCTCTTGTATCTACTGAATTTTCATCTTGATAATCTAATCTCGGTACATTGACACTTGCCCACAGTCCTAATCGTATGTCATTCTATAGACTATCCGCGCATTGACTATTGTGGAGACCATAGTGATAGCCGATATCATGATAATGAGTGCCTTCGCTGACCATGCGATGTTTTTTTTATTGGTGTTTTCATCACCCTGATAGAAGAATAACATGGATTTTAGTTGTATTTCACTTTTGAAAAGTTAAAATGATTATATTTTTGACGTGATATGAATGATTCGGTTGGTATAAATGTAAAAAGTAATGATTAGGTGTTAGATATGTAAATACATAGGAATTGGGTGGTATGTAAGTGCCATTTGATGTTTCTGCTTTATATCATTAATGTGAAATCTTTGAACGTGTTAAGTCTTAAATGAGTTTTCAGTTTTCCATAAACTGTGTTGTCTTTTGTTCTAATTCTGCATTCGTGTCAGATACCAGAAGAGGAACCTCCAGAAAGAGTCTGTCTCGACATAAATTCCCAAACTCTTATCAGATGAGTATGTTTGGCCGGTGGTTTGATCTTCTTCTGCATGTATTCCCTCTTTCTTCATAGAACATACAACAATACATTTATACAAAAGGAAGAGCAAATATAGGCCAGTTTAAGAAAGTATGGAGCCCAACATCTAAACCTTAAATCCTGAATCATAATAAGCAAAAGGTTCAATCCCCATTTATTTGTGCATCACATAAATTTTTATATTCTCTTCTTTTTGATGCTATGTTAGCGGTTTCTTGCATCGCAATGCTGAAATTTTGGCCTATCATTGGTTGAAATGTTCATATTTAGGCATAGCTTCGTACATTTTCGACTAAAGCTTGGAGTGATGATGTTAAATGTGGTGTTTTTTGTGGGGATTGGTGGAGATTTAATGCATGTTGCTATTCTCTTGTTAAGATCAGCAACAATGTCTGTTTAATTATGTAAGTTATCATAATTTTGATCAATTCTGTATAGCAAAACCTATGAATTTGCAATATTGAATGCAGTACTTGTTTAGCGGTTGGTTCGGATCCAGAGCAATTATGGTCTGTGTCAGTATCCATTATTAATATATATATATATATATGTATATATATATATATATAATGTGTGGTATATATATATATATATATATATGTATGTATGTATCTATATATATATATATGTATGTATATATATATATATGTATATGTATGTATCTATATATATATGTATGTATGTATGTATATGTATGTATGTATGTATGTATGTATATTCTTAACTTTGAGAGCACATGTTCAATTGTTGATATACAGGTGAATAAGAAAATTTAAAAAAAGGAAGATTTACATTCATGTCACTTAAATTCATATGTATTTTTTTATCTGGCATTTAAATTTAAGTTTTTTCCATAAATATCACCTTACTTATTCATAAAGAGGTGGGTCACTTTTATTTTTAAGTTAAAATAATGATATTTTTAATGTGATATTAAAGATTTGGGTCATATAAATGTTAAAAAGTAAATTATAAGTTATATATATATATATATATATAAGAAGTGGGTGGCACGTTTGTAAATGGCCCGAAAAGTTTATCTTCAGCAAAACAATTCATCCAGCCATTTAATTTTGATTGAAGGCCATTTAATGAGAGCCAAAATAAAGCTAAAAAGATTTGTAACAAAAATTAAACATTAAGAAGGTTCTGCCCGAAAGAAGCTGTTTGGAACACTCGCAGTGCTTGAAAACCAAATGCTCTTATAAGAGAAAAAGACCACGGCTGAATTGTGTAGGCTAGGACGTCTCTCTCACCAGTCACCAATGTAGGTCACAAGCAAGGAAACATGGGTCAAGCATTATATGAGATAGTGTAGAACAACTCTAGCTAAAATTAGGATAAATCGACTCTCGTCATATGCGTATGTCCGGGAGCTTTGTTAGGGTTTCACTCTACGCCGCCTTTTTTTTCCCCTTGTCTTCTTAAAAACACTTGCTGCTACTCCATCTTCTCTTACTTGCTAAGGGACTTCGACCCACAACTTTGATGAATTTTTCACTTCTCCTTTCCACCCCCTTCTAATTCTACACTGGCCCTTTCCCTTCTACAAGCTAGAAATGACTACTCTTTGCTCATCTCCATAACTCTTCTAGTTTTAATCTCTCTTGAATTCCTTTGGTTGAAGATAAGGTGATTTTTTTTTCTGATGAGGAATTTGAATAAGACTCGAAGCACTGGAATCTCGCTCTTGTTAATAGGCTCTTGAGAATAGACCTTTCTATGATAACTTAATGCAAACTATTTCCAAGATTTGGAAGGTCAAATGTATGGTTCAATTTATCTCTCTTTTTTGATGGATTATTTTTATTCAATTTCAGTTGCTTGGAGGATCTTAATATGGTAATGGAAGGATGCATGTGATTTTTTAGTGAAAAATCTTTTATATTTAAATGTTGGTTGCCTGAATTTCAACGCATAAAGGAGGACTTCAAGGAAGTTCCCATCTATTTTAAACTTCCTAACCTTCCATATGCTACTTGTATGAGAGTGGAATTTCCAAATATCGCCAACAGGAGTTCCCATACGTGTAAACTCTTTAATAGCTAAGGAAACTCTACTTGTTAGTATTCAAATCAATACACAAAGTACCCTATCAGATTCCATTATCATCAATGTAAATGGGAGAGATGTGGTGCAGCTTATTATTTATGAATGGAGGCCTCAACCTTGCACCTCTTATAATACCTTTGCTTATGAGCCAAAGTTAGGCCCAAAATCTCCAAACTAGAAACCTCGCCCTGTTCTTCTCTATTACAGAGGAAGAAATAAATCTAGAAGCTCTTCGAATATAAGAAGGTGCAGCTCACAATGCCTTCCACTTCCTCACCCGCCTCCTTCTGTCCTTAACCCCACCACTAATCTTAATGTACTCCCTCAGCTCATTATTGGCTCCCACTCCTCTTTACAACACCCATGATCTCCTAAACTTGAAGTACAAAATTCTGATCACCTTATCAGCTGCCCTCAAAACTCCATCCTCCCCTCAGAAAATCAATTTGAGATCATTCCCAACACCCTTTTAAGTTTAATGCTCTTCAGCTCCATCCAACTTGCTTAAAATATTTCCTCAACCTATCACAATTCCTCCCAACGCCCCTCCTCCTCCATCCTTACATCTTCTAAGCCTAGAAAACATAGCCCAAACAGAGGGGGTCTGCTAACCCTATAAGCTTTTCTTTTATGTTTTGTCCTAGTATAATTGTTGAGACTCGTAATCTTGACCTTATTGTCTTCTCAAGACCACGTTAAATATTGGTTGTGTCTCTCATGCTTTCTCCTTCAAGCATTTTTCTCTCTTTCTTAATGAAGAAAGTAACTTAATTTCAGTTCTTTTAAGAATGGAAGGATTTGGATAAAGTGTAATTTCAACATCGCTTTTTTGTCTTAGATATTAAGCCGTTAAAAATTCAAGATTTGGTGAAATTCTCTACCTCTGTTACTTTTCTTATCACATTTGTGTATGTTGAAAGCAATGCCACTCCCAAGAAAGCTATTTGAAACTCTATCTCATCTCTTGCAGCGAACATCTTTGAACCATGGATCATTGTTGGGGATTTTAAATGTATGAAAAATTTGGATGAGAAAGTTGGTGCTATCCCACCAATTTCTAGCAAGCTAGAAGATTTCAAATTTTGTATTTTCAATAGTGGTCTCTGTGAGCTCCCTAATCTTAGCTTCTCATATAAATGGTTTAAATGGAAAATGCATAATTATATTAGATGTCTTCTTGATAGAACATTTGGGAAATAAAATATGACTTGATTCCTTCCCTCTCACATCTTATAAAGTTTTGACGCTCACACATCAAAGCATTCCCTAATTCTAATTTCGATAGGCACCTACTTCACTCCCAAATGTAGGTTCATGTACAAGAATTACTGGAATCCTTGTGATGATCTTTAAAGTGTCATTGCAATTGGAACATTCATGTTGAAGGAGATCTTATTTTTGCTCTTGGGAATAAATCAAAGAACATAAAAAAATACACTTTTGAGTGCTAATTGTTTAACTGCATTTCTATTCTCATCAAGGATCTTAAAAGTTATCAATTGGCTATTTAATCCACTTTGGATGCTCAACCCTTCATACCTAATTTCTCAAAGCATTTTCATTCATAATAAGATTATTGATAGTACTTTTTGTGATACTTCTCTGATAAAAAAGATCTGAATATTATTGGCTTTTTAAGGGAAGAATACCATAAAATTCCTTTATCAAAAAATCAAGAGTAGATGCAATGGGAATTTCATCAGAGTTAATCTCTAACAATGAATACATTAATACCCAACAAGGCATTGTCAAAGAGGCTATTTCATATTTTTCTTCACTGCTTAATAGCTCAACTTCCTTTTTAGTAATCCCTGTCATATTCATGTTGGTCGGGTTTTGATTCAACAGAAAATTGATATGCTTCTTTTTGATTTTAATGATGAAGACATCAAAAAGGCTTGCTTTCAAATTCGTATTGATAAATTTTATACACCAGATGACTTCAATTCTAAATTTTTTAGGAATACATGGGATATCACGGGTCAGCACTATGTTAAATACATAAAATACTTCTTTAACACTCCAAAGTCGTCGAATAGAGTTAAGCAGTTTGCCTTAACTCTCATTTCTAAAATTTTACATGCCTAGGTCCTTACTGATTACAAGTCAATCTCTTTTTGTAATACCTCATAAAAGGTTATTGCTAAGGCAATTGCTGATAGACTTTAAAGTATTCTTCCTAGTCTCAGGCTACTTTCATTTATGGTAGGGACAATGCTGATAATATCATTTTAGCTAATGAATTCTTGAAAGGCTTTAAATCTTCCACCAACCCTAATATTGTGCTCCAAAATTTATCTTAAGAAGGCATTTAATTCGATGAACAAAAACTACATTTATAATATATTTGAGAACATGGGTTTACCACCCAAATTCATTGGTAGGATCAAAGCTTGCACTGCTCGTGCTTACTTCTCTGCTATTATTAATAGTGAACTCCAATGTTATTTTTTATCCACATCTTGGTCATAAGCAAGGTTGTCTCCTATTCCCTTACCTCTTCATTGTGGTTATGGATGGCTTCTCAAGAATTTTAGATTATTATAGAGACTTCTATAACTTGTATAATTCTTTTGATATCGATCCCCCTATATTTGTTAATAAACTTCTTATTTTTGCATTGGCTAATGTAAAAAATGACAATTGTGTTGCTTATACTTTGCATATTTTTTATAAGATGTCTAATCCCTAGAACAATATTACTAAATCTACCATCTTAAGCACCAATGCACTCATATCCTCAATTTTTCAAGAAAAAAATGCTCACTTGGAAGAACTTTGGGATTACTATAAACTCTAGCAAAATTAGTATTATTACATTTCATATGCTCTTTGAAAGAGTTAACCATTATTTAAGTGGATGGAATAAAAGCTTCTTATCTTTTTGGCCAGTTCCAACTCATCAAAATCATTATTTAAAATTTCTTCCAATATTGCTTTCGATCTAGTGTCATCCAAAAAAAGCATTAAGAAGTGTATCTCCTCCTTGATGAATAACTTTTTACATTATAATGATTATCATAGACATATGCATACCATTGCTTCCCACACCACCATCAAGATGTAGCATCTTAAAAGTTTGAGTCTTCCAAACCTTGAAATTATTAATATTTTTACAAGGTAAATGTGATTTGGAGATTATATAATGGAAGTACTATTCTTTCTAGCTTGTGTAATAAAAGATTCGGCTCTTTATAGTTAAAAATGGAAAGAAATTACTCAACATTTTGGAAAGGTCAAATAAAAATTGCTAGTCAGCTTTCTCTTTTTAAATCAATAGAAATAATAAACTATTCTTCTCTTATGATATTTGGTTTGATAGTGTTTCCTTGCTTGAGAAATGTGGTAGTCATGTTTTAAATTTATTTAACCACCCTAAAGATGCTAGAGTCTCATATGTCATTCATAATTATTTTTGAATTCCTTCCTTCTCCCAGCAAGC